CTTTTATATGAAGTAATCCTGTCGTGTGAACAGAGTATATTTTGTCTTTGATATCTGATAAGGTAACGTTTTTTTCATTGATGTTGATGCCCCACCCCCTTCCTTAAATGCCATATTTCAAGCTGTTCTCCTAATCTACCAGCTTAAAACAGTTTGTGATGTGAAAAATGACCTTGAAGCACATTACTTTATATGTAAAATTTATTTAGAATTCATCCAATTATAAGATTCTGCTAATCGTAAGAATAGTTTGTGACTGACAGTTTGACAAACAGACTCAGTGGCATAGTAATTCTCCTTTTCTGTGAGGCAAACCGTTATTCTAACTCTGAAATTCAATACTGATCAATTTTTCTTTATCCATGAGAGCTTCAGTTTTCATGCATTACCGGTATGTCTTTTCTGTATTCTTATTGAGAATGACATATAGAAGAATTGCCTTTATAGATATGTCCTTGCATCTATAATTCAATGATGACATTTATGTGAGTATTTCAAAATTCAGACCTTCAAAAATTTCATCAATTTATACAGTCATTTTGCATGGCAAGACAATTTAGTCCAATGCACTATATACAGGACTTGTACATACAGTTTGTTGTGGAAGTAATAAAAAAATATGATAGTAACACATGGTTACTATGTCGTAGTAACATTTTGATATATATGTAGAAATAGATCAAGAAACTGAGCACTTTTTTGTGCCCAATAAATATTCAGTTTATTGAAAATTCATCTCCAAAAGCAAGGCATGGGCATATAGATTTGAAGTTCATAGAATTTTGTAACTTATCACCAGAGCATTTTAAAACAATGTATCATGAAATGTCTGTAGAGGCTTCTTACAAAATTACACATTTTGGCATGTTTATTTGTCTTGCTTCCTTGCTATTATATGAACTTAAACTTATCCTTATTTAGTATTAAAGGAAAATGGTAAATCTGAGGATTTAATTAATAAAAGTAAACTATATCAAGAGAAGGAAAAAATGTAAGAGAAGTTCAAAGCAATTAACCAACATACCAGTGTTCTCAGTTTGAGACCAGTAAATTGAGCACGTACAGCAAATCGAACACACCCACTAAAACAATTATATGTCTTGGTCTTGCCAATGTTTACAAACATGGGTCTTTTGTGTAAGAATATGAAGAATGACATTGAAAATATAATAGGAATTTTATTGTAAGCTCAAATAATTAAATTTGAGCTATTTTTTTTTCAAATGGAAATGGAAATACAAGATTGCGAACAAACAAGCGATGTACCAGTATATATAAGTCTGTTTGTGCCTGTTTAAGCATGCTTAATTACCCTTTGCAGCTTACAAAGCTAATTGGAGCTTCTTACCGTAGTGTGTGTGAAAATATTCTTGATGATGATCAAAGTTGTTTTCCTGTGATTATTATTTTTAGCTTTCAATAATTAAAAACCATGCACGTAAAACATAATGGGATGTTTTAAAAGTGCATTTTTATCGAGTTTTAACTATTCATGATACTGTGTGCAGATTCTTGCAGCTTTAGCTTTAAGCATAAATTTCTAATGAGCATATCAGAAAACAAACAATCTGAGTATTGATTTGTCATGTTTCAATCTGTTAACACATCATCCTTAATAAAATATTAATACCTCAGTCTCTGATAAGCATCATCTTTCTCTTATAATCAAGATTAAATGACAGATTAGTTGAAGATCATGCACCAATTATTAGTTCTGACTCTCAGTATGATTCTGCCAGTCTTATAAGGCTATTTATGGAATATATGTGGCTTGAGATAGTCATGTATATCTAATAAATGTGAATCTGGAAGAATACTAATAGTACTGCATGTAGTTTCACCCCCAAAAAGCTATTGTCAACCAAGGCACAGTTGAGGTTTACAATGGTTTTTGAGGGGTGAAAATTTTCAAATGTTACCCTCAACTACATGCTGTATTTATTATATTATGCTATTTATATTTTATACAAAAAAATATAACACTGAATCATGCATGCATTAATTCTGCTCAGTCAATTTTTGGAAGGTCACATGTGTGGCGGTCAGCCGGGTTCGATCGCCGGTGGCCAGATAGCTCAGTTGGTAGAGCACCTGACCGGAGTTTCAGGGGGCCCGGGTTCGATTCTGATTTTCTCCTCTCCCGTTACATTTGGTGCCGTGCCATGCCCTGGAATTGACAGGTGCGAGACCTGCCAGGGATGAGCCTGGGTTGTGTCTTCGAGGGCGAAGACCATTTAAGGAGGGAGGAATGTAATGGTTAGGGCCGTGGATATCGGCCTGGATAGCTCAGTAGGTAGAGCACCTGACTAGAGATATCCCGTTGAAGCCATACATTTTCTCCTTTCCTGTTACACATGTTGTCAAGAAATGTTGAATGTACAGTATTGCTACCCTGGAGGGCATGGTTTCATCATTGAGAGGATACATGTGTGTTTTTTAACAATTAAATGTTTCTCGACAAATCAAATTCAACTAATTTACATGAAAGCGTAATATTAAATTTTATCATTCTGCTGATCATGCAGTTGCTAGATTAAGACATTTACAGGGCAGATAGGTCAATACGGAAGTATTAAAGGCACCCATTGTAGAATCTTCCTAAGATGGGATTTGATAGACTTTGCCTCTCTGCATGTGGAACACAGTTGTATGTTAAATTATATGCCACTTTCATATTTTACCCCTATTTTCTAAGAATCAGAAGAGCTTATTCTGCATGTATAGTATTTCTGTAGTTGTCTTAGTCTTTATATTTTATTTCATTGTTTACATGCATTTTGTTTTTGTTGTTAATCAAATTACTTGTGCAATTGATGTTATTTTTCTCCTGACATGTAATAGTTACATACATATGAAAAAAAGGGTCTGTATTATAAATGAAATAGTCAATAGCTTGTAATTAGAGGCTCAAGGTGCAAAATGAGACAAATATGGCAAACAGAGAAATCTCTTCCTTTCAGGGTGTTCCAATATAAATTGTCGAGGAGATATTAAGATAGTGTTGTGGCCATGAGCCGTCTTGTTTAAGAGTTATATTTTTGGTTTGTTTGTTGTTTAATGTCCCTCTGGAGAATTTTTCACTTATTGAGATGCCTCTGTTGGATCTCATCCAAAGAGGTAGTCTCCATGTTCTGCAATTCCAACCCATGATGTAAGGATCAAATCCCCACCCTACAACTCTAAGTGCAGACTCTAACCACTGCGCCACATGGACACTTACCAAGAGTTTGGACCTGTTTGAAAGTAGGTGATCATAATTTGTAACAAAATCATGGTTTCATTTGATGCTTTGTTTTGCCTTTGAGTGCTATAAATTTAGACCTACCCTTGGCACTCAGGCCATTGAGCAGTGAGGGATCTTTTTCATGACCACTTCTGCAACATTACAGGACCTTGGTTTATAGGGTCTCATCCAAAGGAATGGTCTAAATGTTTTGCAGTTGGATTCAAACCTACTGCATACTAAGGATATCATATCCTTACTCTTGGATTTTAGAAAAGACACTCTAACCACTGCACCCTACGGGTGACAAAAAGTTTTGACCTGTTTGAGAAATGATGAACATATACTGGTAAATAGTAACAATGTCATGGTTTCGTTTGATGTCTTGTTTTGCCTTGGATGCAGTGCTCCAGGTATACTTTTTTTTAAATCACAAAATTAACAAACCATTTTGTTTCTCTGCACGTTTAGAAGTGTAAACTGAACTCAGTGTCTAAAGATCAAAGTCTATGGGTTGATTCCTGTTAATGTGTTATGATGCTTAAATAAACTTCATCATGCCTCGTAAAGATCAATATATTGTGTGGCGTAGAGTCAATAAAATGGACTAATTAAACACAGATGACATGTGCAGTGGGATGGTTAATTTCCGTATAGTTGACTCACTTCTGAGGACAACAATCTTTGGATATAGTATAGATCTATGATCTTGATATTTGCCTCTCATAATTATTTGTATATGCTTAATACTCAGTGCGACAATAAAGTCCAGGTGTATTAGAATCCCTGCGATGAAAACAAAGAGATAAAAATTGGATTTCTTACGATTCAAAAGGTTAATTGTAGGTATATAGCACTGAGGTTTCTCTCTCAGAGAATTTCCCAATTAACAAATATTGATTTTTGAGTTACTTTATATCAGAATTGAAAAGGGGATCCTTTGTCAACACATCTTTATTGAATGGGAGTTTCTCTGGTTTATGTATATTATGTATACTAGAAAGTTTTATTGGAGACATTAATAGAAGTTTTTGTGACAATCAACATTGAAAATTAGAAAAAAATATAAGATTAATCTATACATTGAAATAGATATCTTATTGGTACAGAGTAAATTTACTTGTTAATGAAAATGTGAAAATCTTATATGTTTTATAAGATACAGTTGAGATACTTCGTCAGTTGATGCATCTTGGGTTTTGGGAATGTGTTTATCAAAAAGTAGGTCATGGTGACCTTTTTTTTTATTTCCTACTTTTATTTAGATTTAAGGATAAGGAGAGGCTTGAAATCTTTTATGTTTGTCATTTGATGCATTGAAGGTCAAACAACTATTTGAATATTTATGGTAATTAGAGGTATAGCGTCATCAAATTTTGTCATTTGATATTTCTTAGGTCCTCAGAGAGTGTAACCAAAAAGTAGGTCACGATGACTACTTTGGGAATTTCAATCCTTTATCTACATCAAATCACTAATTTTCATGGGGTTTAATTTTCCTTGGTATGGAGAAAACCATGAATTCATGACCACCACAAAATGTGAAATTTTATATGTATTACTTACCTAAACATTTTCCAATAAGCCAATAATAAAATCAATTCTCTACAAACCAGTATTTTTTTCTCAAACCTCAAAAGTTTGGCCCCACAAAAATATGTGTATGTGATTTTACAGAAGAACATGAGGTGGTGAAGGGTTGTACAAGTAATTCTAGGCCCTTAGGTATCTTTTTTTAATGAGATTTTACACTAAATATTGTTATTTTTTCTTACAGTTGATAGAAAAGAACTGCTGAATTGGTAAGTTTGTTTTAACTTTAAAATTTAAACCTAGTTAATGCAAGAAGGGAAACAAAGAAGTTTATATATTTTTGTATATGTCAAGAAGTCAAATTTGGTGGTACCCAAAGAAAGGTGTTGTTACAAGAATTACACCCCTGAAATATGAAAGCCATAGCCCCATCCATTCATAAGTTGTGGGCAAGGTTAAAGTTTTTGTGGACAAACAGACAGACAGATAAACAGACAGACAGGGCAAAAACTAAATACCACCAAATCTTCAATTAACAAATAAAAATCTCTACAAATTTTAATTTTTCTCAAGAAAAGCAAGGCCTTGATTATTGTTCCCAGTTTTTGCAAAAGCAGTGGGACATTAAATCTGTCCATCTGTAGGTCTGTCACAGAAACTTTAATCTTGCTCATATCTTTTGAATGAGAAGAGATAGGACTTTCAGATTACATATGTGTATTACCTGTGACAAGATCCTTCTAAATGCACCATGATTTTTGACCCCCATGATCTTGACCTTGGAGTTGGACCAAGTTTTCAAAAATTTAAGGATTACTTTAAATTGGCCAAAACTTCTGAATGAGAAGAGATAGGGCTTTTATAATATACATGTATATTACCTATGACAAGACCTTTCTTAATACTCTGATCTTTGACCTTGTGACCTTGATCTCGAAGTTTGACCTACTTTTCAAAAAATTGAACCTTAGTCATAACTTTTGGATGAGAAGATTAAGGGCTTTCACATTTCACATGTATATTACTTGTACAAGACTTTTCTAAATACCTTATGCTTTTTTACCCCAAGACCTTGACCTTTTATTTTTGACCTTTTCAAATATGTTATTTTTTCCTTATAACTTTTGATTAGATAGAAAAGAGGTTGGGCTTTCATATTTGTCATATGTATTACCTATGATAAGATATTTCAGAGCATGCTATGAATGCTGACCCATTGACCTTGACCTTCACAATTGACCTTATTTTCAATAAAATCAACTTTCAATTGGTGTTAACTTTTGAATGACATATATGATAATTGACACAAAATGCCATAAATAATGTCACCTCACCTCACCCACAAAGATACCAGAATGGGAGAAAACACATGGAAATTTTCACCCCTGTTTTATTTTTGCCCCTTTCACCTTACCCTCATTTTGGCAAATTTAAAATGGTGGGAATTCAAAGAATACAGTATAATTTCTTAAACAAAACTATGACGGGGCGAATTTAAAGAGGCACAAAATTGTTTGCAAGTGTGAAGGGGCGAAAAAAAAACACAGGGCGGAAATCACCCATATACAGTATTTGAATTTGCTTGTTCATTTAACACGGCGGAGAATCTACGTCATCGGACGGGACTAGGACACACAAAAATGGAGGACAAATGCTCCGCTTCGATGTAAGAAGTTGATATTTTTGCACTTATAAAGAATGAATATTAAATCAGTATCCTGCCTAAAGTATGCCAAAGAACGTCAACTACAATAGACAATGTACGTTTGCTCGTGATAGAATCTTATTGTTCCAAACACTTCGACACAGTTTGAAAACAAGTGAGAAAAAACCGGGATGTGGGGTACACATTTTTAAAATTCGATCAATTATTTGCATGTCCAGATGTACTAGACATTTTATTCTTCCGCGTTTACACTAGAACTAATATTTTAAAAAATCCTGATTTTTAAAATAGTTTATTATGCTTTAATTATTCAAGAAAAAAGTATAAATCATTTTGTTTTCAGAAATGATGTAGGGCACACCAACACTAAAACGGATATGGGACACACAATAAGTTACTTTCAAATTGAAACATCGAGCATTCATATCTTAAAGTTTCCATTTAAATGACTGCCGTTTGATAGTATATGAACAATAATCTGTACAACTCATCTTTGTAATACTCATCCAAATACTTGATTCCCTTGGTTTGCTTGTATCCATACAAAAATTATAAGTTGAAAACGCTGGTCTGAATCCTCAACAAAAGCTTCCAACATGAATTTTAAATTTTGACTTTTATTAAATTTCATGTAGAAATTTACCGGTGTTCACTTCTGCAGATCCATAGAAAGAGGGGGAGGGGGTCGGAGTCCGGAGATTGTGTTTATTTTAATATGATATTTCTATTTAAAGTTACACGACATCCGCCCCCCCCCCTCGAAAAAAAAAACACCCCCCCCAAAAAAAAAACACACACACACACACCTGTACAAACTCACGAAATAAGTTTTTTTTTTTAGCTTTGTTCCTTACTTTTCTGCTTGTCAAAATAGTTTGGAGTCAGAAAATTCTTTAATTGGAATTCCCTTGGTTTGCTTGTATCCATACAAAAATTCAAATATTATAAGTTGAAATGGCCGGTCTGATCCTCAACAAAAGCTCACTAGCTGCCAAAATAATGAATTTTAAATTTTGACTTTTATTAAATATCATATTGAAAGATACTAGTATTTACATGTGCGGATCTAAAAGGAGGGTTGAAGTCCGGAGTCTATGTAAATGATTTTACGTACTCTACGATATTTTTGTGTTAAGTAACACGACCCAGAACCCAATTAAACACACATAAAATAGCTTTTTGAGGTTGATTGTTTAATTTCTTTGCTTGTAAAAATGTTTTGGTGTCAGAACTTCTTTTTCTGAGTTTGTGTGGACACCCCCCTTCGAAAAGTTTCTGTATTTGCATATTCAGTGTTTGTTTTTATTAGATCTTTGTCGGTAAGACTCTAGTATGTCAGCTGATAGGAAGCGGAGATTAGGGAATTTTTCTTATGCTCAAATATTTGCAACAGCTGACAAACTTCTTTCAAAATTCTAATAGTTAATTACAGACTCCATATATTTGAGAAAAAAAGACAAAATTGAATATTGTACTCCGAAGATAAAATCATCGTATTAATTGAAAAAAAAATTATTGTTTTATTATACATGTGTCTTTCCTGATATACTTTATTTTATCAAATAAAAAATACAACATGACTATATTAAGATAGTCATGTTGTATATTTTATTTGATATCAGGAAAGACACATGTATGAATCAGTGATTAAATATTACGTACTCATAAAGCAGTTCATGTCATCTTATTTACATTTGCTGGAATATTAGCCAAAAGCAATGATAGGAGCAGGGTTAAATAAATAATACCAGCAGTATAAATTGGGATTTTTTTTGGTTGTAAAAAGTACTTTAGTAGCTATACATAAAAAAGAAATAATGTCAAGCTCTTTTATATGATAAGTTTTGAAGAGGGGGGGGTCATTATCAAAGAAAAATGACAACTAAAAACCTTTGATTGGCACCCACGAAAAGACAATTTTTAACTTCAATTTTTGTTTTGGCCCTGCCAATCACTGGCAACCACTTTCATACATGTATTCGATTACTAATATTATATTCACCTGAGTGCAAGCTAGGAGCAAATAAAATAGCTTTCTGAAACTATTTGTTGCAATTTGGAATTTCCCGATCTATTTTTAGACCACTGTGTAGGGAAAATAAATTCCTATTATCACCTGGAAGGTCAGTTGTTGCAAATATTTAAGCATAAGAAAAGTTCTTGATCTCTTTCCCATATTAAAAGACATGCTAGTGTCAAAGATCTTATTAATACCAATTTGCAGATTTAAGAACTTTTTTCGGGATAGAGGGGGGAGGGGGGGGGGGAGTCCACACAAAGTCCAAAGAATTTCTGACTCCAACCTATTTTGACAAGCAATAAAGTAAGCAACAAAGCTAATACAAACTTATTTTGTGATTTTGTGTGTGTGTGTGTGAGGGTGTGTGTGTGAGGGTGTGTGTGTGTGTGTGTTTCGTGTTTTTTTTCGGGGGGGGGGGGGGGGGGGGGGGGGGGGGGGGGGGGGGGGCGGATGTCGTGTAACTTAAAATAGATATATCATAAAATAAACACAATCTCCGGACTTCGAACCCCACCCCCCTCCCTCTTTCTATGGATCTGCAGAAGTGAACACCGGTAAATTTCTACATGAAATTTAATAAAAGTCAAAATTTAAAATTCATGTTGGAAGCTTTTGTTGAGGATTCAGACCAGCGTTTTCAACTTATAATTTTTGTATGGATACAAGCAAACCAAGGGAATCAAGTATTTGGATGAGTATTACAAAGATGAGTTGTACAGGTTATTGTTCATATACTATCAAACGGCAGTCATTTAAATGGAAACTTTAAGATATGAATGCTCGATGTTTCAATTTGAAAGTAACTTATTGTGTGTCCCATATCCGTTTTAGTGTTGGTGTGCCCTACATCATTTCTGAAAACAAAATGATTTATACTTTTTTCTTGGATAATTAAAGCATAATAAACTATTTAAAAAATCAGGATTTTTTAAAAATATTAGTTCTAGTGTAAACGCGGAAGAATAAAATGTCTAGTACATCTGGACATGCGAATAATTGATCGAATTTTAAAAATGTGTACCCCACATCCCGGTTTTTAGCTCTACTGGTCAGAGACCAGAAGAGCTTATGCGATAGTAATGCGTCCGGCGTCCGTCCGTCTGTCCGTCTGTCTGTCTGTCTGTCTGTAAACAATTTTTCAAAATGCTACTCCTCCTACAGTTTTGATCTGATTTCAATATAACTTGGCACACAAGTAGACTACACTAAGATACATAATTCTGTGTATCGGTTTTTGATTTTGACGAACGGTGTTGGCGTTGTTACTAAAAATAGAAATTTCTGTGAAATTCTTTCAAAATGCTACTCCTCCTACAGTTTTGGTCTGATTTCAATATAACTTGGCACACAAGTAGACTACACTAAGATACATAATTCTGTGTATCGGTTTTTGATTTCGACGAACGGTGTTGGTGTTGTTACTAAAAATAGAAATTTCTGTGAAAGTCATTTAAAATGCTACTCCTCCTACAGTTTTGGTCTGATTTCAATATAACTTGGCACACAAGTAGACTACACTAAGATACATAATTCTGTGTATCGGTTTTTGATTTCGACGAACGGTGTTGGCGTTGTTACTAAAAATAGAAATTTCTGTGAAATTCTTTCAAAATGCTACTCCTCCTACAGTTTTGGTCTGATTTCAATATAACTTGGCACACAAGTAGACTACACTAAGATACATAATTCTGTGTATCGGTTTTTGATTTCGACGAACGATGTTGGCGTTGTTACTAAAAATAGAAATTTCTATGAAATTCTTTCAAAATGCTACTCCTCCTACAGTTTTGATCTGATTTCAATATAACTTGGCACACAAGTAGACTACACTAAGATACATAATTCTGTATATCGGTTTTTGATTTTGACGAATGGTGTAGGCGTCATTACTAAAAATAGAAATTTCTGTGAAATTCTTTCAAAATGCTACTCCTCCTACAGTTTTGGTCTGATTTCAATATAACTTGGCACACAAGTAAACTACACTAAGGTACATAATACTTTATATCCGTTTTTGACTTCAATGAACATTATTACCTTGGTAAATAAAGATAGCAATTTCTGTTACTCTCAAAATGCTACTTCAAATACAGTTTTAGTCTGATTATAATATAATGTGGCATGCAAGTAGACTACACTAAGAACATAAAGAAACTTATTCAAGGATCATTATTCTCTTTTTTGCTAGTGTAAAGTTTCAATTCCCAACTGCTTAAGTACTTTCCTCTTCCTTTGCTATAAGTACAAACCAGTAGAGCTTCAGTCTCGACAGAGACTTCTGGTTTCTCACTTGTTTTCAAACTGTGTCGAAGTGTTTGGAACAATAAGATTCTATCACGAGCAAACGTACATTGTCTATTGTAGTTGACGTTCTTTGGCATACTTTAGGCAGGATACTGATTTAATATTCATTCTTTATAAGTGCAAAAATATCAACTTCTTACATCGAAGCGGGGCATTTGTCCTCCATTTTTGTGTGTCCTAATCCCGTCCGATGACGTAGATTCTCCGCCGTGTTTAAGAAATGAATTTAAGTTTTGAAGATTCATGAGGTTATGAACTACGACGCTTCACGCCGGCATATTTCATGAAGCGCGTTAGCGCTTCATGATAAATATGCCGGCGTGAAGCGTTGTAGTTCATATACCTCATTAATCTTCAAAAAATTAAATTCATTTCTTATATTTACATTATTTTCCTGATGACTTGCCATAAATTTACGCCGTTCAACTGTCATTTTTAAAACAAAACAGTGTGCACTATATTTTTGACTTTTTGACGTCAAGAGCGGTATTATGACGTAACAATGGAGATATTCATGCTTATTCGTGATACATACCTAATGTACTTCATGAGAAAATATACTGCATTTTATTTTGTAAAGAATCATAGGGAAATTTGATTGGAAATGTAAATATATTAAAGTATCCTCAGGTAGTGCAAGTTCGAGTTTGTTTGAATCATGTCCCCTATAAGCTAGGGGCAGGTTTGGGCCTTTTCATGCCCATGTTATCAAAGATTCAGGGATATATAGATTTTGCCTCATCAATCCGCCTGTCTGACTGTTTTTCCACAAAAACTTTAACATTGCTCATAACTTTTGTCTGGGTGGGGCTATGGCTTTCATATTTCACAGGTGTATTCCTTGTGACTAGACCTTTCTTTTGGTACCAGCAACTTTGACGTTTTGACCTTGACCTTTGAAATTTGACAGGTGTATTCCTTGTGACAAGACCTTTCTTTTGGTACCAGCAACTTTGACCTTTTGACCTTGACCTTTGAAATTTGACTTGCATTTGAGAAACTTCAATGCTCACCATAAGATGCGATACAGGGACATCAGTGTATCACAAACACATCTTGTTTTTTCAATATTATGTATTTAATTCTTGATTGACTGTTTTATATATTTCAAAGATTGTTTTCATCTAGGCACTAACTGGCAGCCTGTAGTTTATGTTCAGTATTTATGTCGTTATAGATAGAGTATCCATAATTCTTTTTTCCTTTTGATAGGTATAGAGATTTCATGAGGGACTGTCCTAATGGTGTTTTACAAAGAGAGGTAAGTCCTACAGTTAACTGAACAATCTTAGTTGAATTATAAGGTATTGATCTGTGGTATAAAAGTTAGTTTAAAATATATTTTATTCATATAAAGAAATGGATTGAACAGCAGGCATAAATGCCTATGATCGTTCTCTCCATAATAATGGTATAAAAGTTCACTGTTATTGAATTATTACTGTCATATTAAGCCTTACACACTCAGAGACTTGTTTGAAATGTTTTTAAAAAACATATTAAATATCCTAGTATAGCAAATAATTGGAGTAACCATGTAAAAACTGATTTACATAAATATATGAAATAAATGCTTATACATGTATCATTTAATGACAAATTTTGGCAAACACTGTCATGTTACTATTGGAAACAAGTCCTAAATGCATGTGCAATACATGTAGTTATTAATTGAGTGGTTTTCTTAAGCGAGACATAAAGCATATTTCATGGCTATTATATACTTTGACACTTATCATGCTGGCTTTGATTCTATTAAATATATATTGTTACGTTTCACGAAGTGTACCTGTGAAATTCGGGTTAACTCTTGTTTACAAGTTTGGAATATATGGAACTTGAACCCGATGTTTATAAACTCCGTAAATAATTGTCAATGAACAGTTAACGAAAGAAATGAACAATGATTGATTTAATGACTTTATTAATTTTTCATGTATGATTTAATGACAAAGTGGTGTATTTTGAATGTTTTATATGGGTACAACGTTATTAATTTAGTAGGTAATTTTGTTGGTCAAAACCCGCTATCTTACTGATTGCATTGATTGTGACGTAATAGGTATCTGATTGTCTCTTACGTCATCATAACAACTTTTGTCTATATAAACCAGCTGTTTTGAGTTTAGACTTCAGTCGGCTGTGGGGAGCGACTCGGAGCACACAGCCTTCCCTGGTAAGGGAAAGTGACCTAAGTCACTTTGGGGAACGACTCCGTCTTCGGTTATAAGACGGTACCAAGTCTATGTATACGAAACCATTAAAGGGAACCAAGTTTTTAGGAACGTCCTGGATTGACCATCGGTTGGTCACCTTTTTGTTAACCAAATAACGTTGTACCAACCAAGTTACAGTGTACCATTCTGTGTGTTTATAAGTGAACCATTTGATCGTCCTAATAAATGTTATAAACTTTTAACAAGTGTTATTCCTAACAAACATTATTTAAAGTGACCAAAAATTGGTCATTACGTCAACCAAAGAAGTGACCAAAAGTTGGTCATTACGTCAACCAAAGAAGTGACCAAAAGTTGGTCATTACGTCAACCAAATAAGTGACCAAAAGTTGGTCATTAACCATTATATAAACTGTGACCAACGGAACCATCAAATCTCGACCAAGTGACCAGAAAACCAATAGCGGCCCACGAGTTAATTATAACACGATACCCTCGGTTTCGTTACATTGGTGGCAGTGGTGGGATCCGCTATTCTGTGAATTGTGAACCTAAACCATTACAAAGATGTCTAGGAACGAAAAATTGATTGAGGAAAGTGACCATAATACAGAACCAAAAGAACCACAGTTTATCGACGGTACTCCAAGCAAAGAAGTTCTTTTGCGGGTTAATAACAACGACCAGATAGGAGATGGCAGTGCAGTCAACGCATGTACCAACGACAGTCTACACATAATTCTACAAGAATTAAAAACTTTGAAGTCCCAAATGAACCAATTACAATCTCAAGTGAGACCAACGAGTGCTAACAACCAATATGTAGACCAAAATTGCGTTCAATCCGGTACCAGTACTACGTCCAAAGATGACCAAATACACAGTGAACATCGACCATACAGAAATACTTCTCTACAAAATGCGTATGAGAACTTTCGTGATTACGAACATACTAGGACAAGTTGGTCAAACCCGACGTTACCACGAAGTTACACTACCAATGCTAGGACCAACGAATTTCAGCCGACCATGTGCAGCTTTGATTACGATGTACCAAATTATGGTCACACAAGACAAGTCCATGACCACGGATTCAGGCGAACCCCGGAACCTAAAGGGAGAAAACCAGCAACGTTCGATGGTACCATGAACTGGAACGACTATATAGTGCATTTCGACATGATCGCCCAATTGAACCACTGGAATGAGGAAACAAAGGCATTAGAGTTAGCTACCAGTCTACGCGGCCCAGCACTAAGCGTTTTGAGTGACCTACAACCAGAATATCGGTATAATTTTCGTCACCTTGTTACCGCACTAGCAGCAAGATTTGACCCAGAAAACCAAACAGAAATCTATAAGACGCAACTAAAGAGCAGAATACGGAAGAAAAACGAAACGATCACAGAATTAATGCAAGACATAAAGCGACTTACGAGGATGTCATACCAGAACGCACCCCTAAGTTTCCGCGACCAGATAACCAAAGATTCGTTCATCGGAAGTTTAAATGACCAAGAAATGGAATGGGCAATGTTTCAAGGAAAACCTACAGACCTAGAAGACGCAGTGCGACTGGCATTGGAGTATGAGGCCTTTCAACAAGCACGGGGGAGACGAAATAAAGTTGCAGTGCGTATGCAGACAGAGGAACCAGCGCATACCGACAGAAATAATTACGAAACAGACCTAGTAGCCATGATCAACCAAAACACAGAAAAGAAGTTTTACAAGAAAAGTCCCTGTTTCTACTGTAAGAAAGATGGTCACATCAAAAGAGAATGCAGATTACTGCAACGACATCTCAAAAATGAAAGCTACAGAAACCAAAGAAAACCGGAAGACGTAAAAGACGTGACGACCAGAGAACCTGAGAACCAGGGAAACGGACAGTAGTTGACGTCGGCGGCCGAACGTCAGCTATAAAACAGAAAAGGCCACATGTTTTTGGAATAAAGAACTCAAATACACGCAGTACCAACTTATTAACAATTGATGTGCTTGTTAATGATGTGAAAATTAATTGTGTCATTGACACGGGTTCAGTTATAACAGTTATCCACCCAAAGAAATATTACGAGATAGAAAGATGTGTGAGACCTAAATTATTTCCAAACTGTAGTAACTTACAAATGGCCAACGGTGATTTAGTTGTACCAGAAGGTCAGACTGAACTTCAAATTTGTATCGATGAGGAAGTTACCGAACATAAAGTGATCGTCGCTGACGTTGAGTCAGATATGATTTTAGGTCTTGATTTTCTGAAACAGCATAATTGTCAATTGAATTTGGGTGAAGGAACTCTTACATTGGGAAAGAATAAATTACCATGTGACCTTAAGAGTGAACACAATCCTGTGTTCAAAATTTGCGTACAAGAAGCTTTACACCATGATAATGATGACCGACAACTATGTGAACCTGGTGACGAGAAGGAGACAAACGACGCTGAGAAACATATCAGACACTGTACCGTTGGTGACTCAAAGAAGAATCAACCAAGGGAAGTCGGAGGAAAACCGGGTCAATGTTTAGCTAGGGAACCACTGGAACAAGTGGCCAACGACATCCTTGGTCCTTAACAACGGACCAAGAAGGGTAACAAGGACGTTGTTACCAGTTCAGATTATTGCACCCGATGGATAGAAGCAACCGAGAACCAGAAACGAAAGTATGGCACCAAGTCTAATCAGATTCAGTACACCCCAGGGCAGTATGTGTCGATCACATCAAAGGCAAGGACCAAAGGAAGATGTCCTAAACTTAAGGTTCATTGGAATGGACCTTACACAGTGTTAAGTGCCGTGTCCGATTCGGTATTCAAAGTGAGAAAGTCTACAGCCGAGAAACCAAAATATGTGAATCATGACCAGATGAAGCTGTTTTGTGGTGAAGCAGATGACATTATATCCGTGTAACGCGTATCTCAAAAGACATTACCAGTGGACTTGAATAAGTCATTGATTACCCATGTGAAAATTGACCAGGATATCCCAAGATTTCCTGAGATTTTCTCAAGATATCTTGGTTAAAAATCCCAGGAAATCTCAGGATTATCCTGGTACCTGACCTCAGGAATTGTCAGGATGGTATTGGAACAAGGATTTCTCAGGATTTCACAGGACATCCTGGTAAAGCAAAATATCCTGAGATGTCTTGAGAATTCCTGGGGCCACAATTATCCTGACCTCAGGAATATTGCACATGTTTCATGGTAGTACAAAAATCCTGGGATGTCTTGAGATTTCCTGGGAATACAATCCTGTCATCATCCTGGCCTCAGGAATTTGACTTTGTAGTGTAAAAATCCTGGGATATCTTGAGATATTCCTGAGATTAACAATCCCCTTATTGTCATTATGACCTCTGAGATTTTGTCACTTCATCAATTCATTCAAATATGGACAATGTCTCTCTGTACACTAAGAAGACAAAAGAATTATTAATTATGCAAATTATTCTTTAATCAATTTTTTCTTTGAAACTGAAAAAGTCTTTTATGATGCAAGGATGGTGATAACACTTACTCCAGGGCTGCATTCTGTTATTAGGCCTGTAACGTAAATTAATTAAGTTACTTTATTATTCTGAAACAATCACAATAATGTTTATATTAATGGTCAAAATCCTAAAAAAAAAAGATAGAATATTTTTCATAGTTCAGTTAGTCATGAGAGACCAGTCAATAAAAAAAATCATATGCATCAATATTAAACTAGCAAATTACACTGATAGAAATAAAGATAACATATAAAATAGTACTGCAGTGAGCTGTGTACTTTAATGATGTACATTTGACCATGTTTATATATAGTTCTTAAAAGAAACTACAGAGAATTTGCAAGAATTGTTTAGGAAAATGTTTGATCATATATTAAAAACTATATATAAAACAATAATGATGTCATGATGTAATTCATGTACATTTATTTTACACATGTATTGTATTTACTGATATTACATACTGTACTTATTTCTAAATTAAGTACTAATTTATAATTAACACAGAGGTTAAGATACTATGCTATATAATCAGAGTAATATGAAACGAGGAATGGAAATACAAATTTAAGCCCATGCACTT